TCAGCCCGCCTTTTGAGCCCTTGTGCTTGGGGCTTGGGGCCTGTCGCATGTGCGTCCTCCGACTTTCGAAGCTCTCTTCCTTGGGGAGGCTAGGCAGTAAACCTCAATCCTAAGTCCCAGACATCCCCATTCCGACGACATTGCCGCATCTCGTTGCACGTTCCGATGCCAATTCAGATCCAATCTGAACAACACGAGTCGGATGCTTTGGATGTGGTTTTCGCTTTACTGTGTTGGCACCTTCACCGTTTAGGGTTGGGCTTAACGCGTCAAAGTGATTTAAGGATCCGGGTTCAAGTTCTCGGAGCCCGGTGACATCAGTCGTCAGAATCTCGAAATACCATTCAAGTAATTTCAACAAAGGCACCAACAACGCTAACCACATTGACACTGTCATGACAAAGTGATAAAGTGAATCAGGTGCTTCGCCTGCGGTTTTTGCAGGATGCAGGCACAAAGGTCAACACCTCAGAAATGCATCTCAGTAAAAGAGTGGCATTCTAAACCTGAAACCCGAACAAACCCCTCACTTTCAAGATAAGCGATCCCCCCGATGCTACAACCCACCCAAAAAACATAAGCCTGCAGAGACAGCATACCGCCTATACATGCATCACATACGTACATACGTACGTACGTACATGCATACATACATACACAGATACACACACACATACATACATACATACATACATACATACATACATACATACATGCACAGGTACATCTGGATGGATGGATGGACGGACGGACGGACGGACGTACATACATACATAGATACATACATACATACATGCATGCATGCATGCATGCATGCATACAGACATACACACATGCATACATACACACATACACACATACATACACACATACATACACGCACACATACATACATACATACATACATACATACATACATACATACATACATACATATACATACATACAGACAGCACCCTCACCGGCAGATGTATACACGTCCAAAGTACATCTGTTCACATTTGTGGCGCCCCGGAGCCCGAAGTAACTGAGCAGACCAAGGCAATCGGCAGCCGGCGAAGCCTTCCCCGCCGCCAGTGGAGGCATGGGTTCGCAAAACATGAATCCCGAAACCAAGGCCCAGAACTCAGAACCCTATGGAGACCCTAAACTCTCAGACCCTCGTCGCTCCTACAGTATGCTGCCCTAAACTGAAGAGCCCCGAGCCTTGGAGACCCTTGCCACCAGGTGCCTCCTCGAGAGGAGCAAGAGGAGGTTCAGGTGCAGATTTTTTTTTTGTTGGGGGGTTGAAGGTTGTTTTTCGTGGATGCGGGGGAGGGTGGGGGGGATGAGGCTTCTGCGGGTTTGGGGTTCTTGGGGTTTCGGGGGCTGGAAGAAGAAGAAGTCTCAATCCCTTCACATGGGAGTTTCCTACTTTGCAGAAGCCCCCCCCGTCCTCCCCCAAATGTTGATCCTATCTACAGCCACACTCGCAGATAGTCAGGTCTTCGGCCCCAACGGCTGTTCCTTTTCCCGTGTATAAGCACCCTGCTAATACAGCCCTTTTCGCTAACCCCCCTCTCATCTCCGCCATTTAAAGCCTGATTTGCAGTAGGGGGGCTCAGAAGAAGAGCAGGAGGAGCAAGAGGATCAGGAGCAAGTGCAAAAGCAAGAGCAGGAGCAAGAGCAACAGTACGAGCAGGAGTAGGAGCAAGAGCAAAAACAGGAGCAGCAGCAAGAGCAGGAGTATCAGCAGGAGCAGGAGCAAGAGCAAAATCCCTCAAAAGTGAGAGAAAAATACAGACACAACCTAGCAGTACACTTTCCGATGTTTAAAGGGGGGGTTGAACATTCGGAGGAAGGGATTACATCTGTGGTGGGTGCCATGTAAAGCCGGTAGGATCCACACTAGGGATTTGGATATTGTCTTGGGCTCTGTAGCAATACTGCATATTCTGGCTGTCACTATTGGGGATAATATGAGGAGCAAAACCCCTTGCTACATGTGTTGAATTAGCTGCGTCTATCTTGCAGGTCACATAGCTTCCTAGAGGTTGGGGGCTCTTGTGATTGTGAGGTCATCCCAGTCCCAGAGAGATACAGCTCCAAACCCTAGGCCCGGAAACCCTTAAACCCGAAACTCTATAGCTCTTCAGTTATGCTAAGGGAGCTTTTGTAAAAAGCCCTCTGCCTTGGTTTATACACAAGTTTTGGAAGGGGACAGCTTATTGCGCGTGGGGCCCTCCAGTGTAAACTTGGCAACATTTTCCAGGATTTCTAGCCGTAGAAGCGCGTAGCCAACTACATGGACTACCTTGGAGGGAGTGTACTTACAGGTAAAGTCTCTCCAACATGCACAGTTCAAGCGCTAAAGCCCGTCTGGAGTCGAAATGCCCAGGTTCAGTGGTTGCGCAGCAAGAAGAAACTGAAGAGGTAATGCTCAGACACGAACCACAGCACGGCTCCCTACTCCCTCCTTCAAAGGCTGTTCCGGCTCGTCCGAATACCCTAAAAAAGCAACCCTAGGCCCTCGACTCCTCAATGCCTACCCACAAGAGGCACCCCTCTCTGCACGGTCGGGCCGCTCCGAGGGTGCGGGCAGCGCTGCTGGGGCTTTCATTGGGAATCACTGGAGCTCCAAGCCCAAGCCCGAAGCCGAAAGCTGCTCTAACCCAGAAGCCGTAAACCTTCAACCCCAGAGTGCAAAGCCACATCCCAAAACCCTAAACCCCTACCCCGTAAAGCCTGTAAACCCTACAACACCTTTCGAACGCTGCGCCAAATAGAATTCAGGCTACCAGCTTGGAGTAGAAGAAGCCTCGACAAAAAAGCAGCAGATGCCACAGACTCAGGTGAAAAGCGTTGCCTCCACTAGCATCCAGCTTCTTGGCACGGAGGTCTAGGGACGTGGCTTTAGGATTGGAGCATAGGTTCAGTACGTGTGTATACATACAAAAAATACATAAATGCACACGTAACATACATATGCGTGTGTCCGTATGTGATTTGAAAAACGAGTACTGTGCAGATCTACATACACAACCAGGTTTGTTGAATATGTGGTCTCGTGTTTCTGTGCAAAGGGCGCATGACGGCGGCTTGCTTCGTTTGTTAACCCCGCACCCTGCACGAAAGGAAGGAGTGATGTTGTGGCTTTCGCCCTCGTCCTCCATGTAGCAGTCGCCGTCGTGTCTGGTCCCCTTCTGGCTTTGTCTGGAAGGGCAGTCGTCGTCTTTGTGTCCTGGTCCTCGTCCTCTTTGGGGCGTAGTAGCACAGCACGAAGAGGAGCAGGGCAAGGAGACCATGGGAGGAGCAGGTAGCAGTAGCAGCAGGAAGGAGAATAAGGCAGTAAGAGTGGGCGTTTCAAATGCTCTGTAGTTCATTCTTGACATGCTGCAGAGTCGTGATGCTCGAAAACCCAAGCGTCGCTGGACCGAATCCGAGAAGTAGGGAGTAGGACGGGTAGTAGACACTGTGTCCGTGAAATGGCCATGGTGTTGTGAGGGTCGCGCCTCAACTCCACGGAAGCCAAAGGAGGTTGATGGAGATCCGGAGTTGCCACCATCATATATAATTGGCGACGGCTTGAGCGATGGAGGCGAGCCCCTTCTGCTAGATGGAGAAAATCTGCCGACGAGTTCGTGTGGAATTGCCGGAAACTCGACATTCCTACTTCTCCAACAGCATGCCAACGAGGGCCAGTGTCTCTGCGCCCCCGAACCGGATCTTGGAGAGCCAAGCTCGAGGGTAAAGCTGCTCTGGGTAGTCGGAGGGCCCCTGTCAGCCCTGACGGAAGCCTGCTCTGCGCTGCATTTAGGGTCTTTGGCCAGCATGATGAATTTTGGTTGAGACGGAAATTCCTGTCCTACACCCCTGGAGAGACGAACATGAGCCGTCCTAGACTGGGGTCTTTGAGAAGAACTGATCATGCAAGCGTCAAGTATGTGAGCATGTGTGACCTCCACAAGACGCTGCCCGAGTAACTCTTGCAGAAAAGAGAGTGCAGAGCCGTGACATTCAGGGATCAGCTGTGGTATTTGCTTGGTATTTGCTGGTAAGGACTCTGCGCCACATCACGTGAAAAAAGTTGCAGTCGGGCTACTTTGGCCCGACCACCACACTAGTAAGTCGGACGAGTCTAGCAGCTAGCACCTTCAGGGTTCAGCGCGGAAGGAGTCCTGCAATTCCTACTACGATCCGCGCCGAGAGCTAAACGCCGAACCGGCATTCCTGAGTTCTAAGTCCGAGCTTCTGCCCATTTCTTTCTGTGTGGAGTGGCGTAGGCAAAAGGTTCATGATGGCTGCTTGTCCCATTCGCCCTCGAAGAGAAAGGAGAGGTGCACGGAGAGAGACAAAGTCACTTGACCTTTTCCCCTGGTTGCCTCTGATGGGGTTTAGGGTGTCTAGGAAGTTTAGGGTTTAATTTGACCCCAAACCCTAAACCAACTAGGGTTAGGGTTTAGGACTGAGCATGTAGTTGTCTTCGGCCCAGTCCTTCACTGGTCGCGACGAGGTGGTAACAGTAGCCGTAGCAGGAGTAGTAGCAGTAGCAGCAGCAGCAGGTCGTGGTGGTAGTGGTGGTGGCGGCGGTCGTGGTGGTGCTGGTGGTGGTGGTGGCAGCAGAAGCGGAGGAGTAGTTGCACTTGGCGTATTGACAGCAGCAGTGCCAGTCGCTGTCGTCGACGTCTGTTTGTCCTTGTCGGGGTCTTTTTCGAGATGTTGATAGTAGTACGTGACGAGGAGGAGCAAGGAGAATAAGAGGAGCAAGGAGCAGTAGCAGTAGCAGGCAGAATGACTAGCAAGAGCGGGAGCAGCAACAGCCGTTACAGTCGTTCTGTAGTCGGCATTCACGTGCCAAGTAACAATTTGCTTTTCGCTTCGGGCTGAAAAGGACGAAAGACTGAGCGGGCAGAGTTGCATCACTTGCTGCTTAGCCATGACGCAAACGTGGCTGGACCGAAGCCGGGAAGTGGAGTATATAGCACGGGCATGTAGACAGGGTCACTGTGGATTGTCCTGCAATGGCCATGGTGTTATGGGGGTCGAGCCTCAACTCCGTACCACCACCTCGCAAGCCATCGGATGTTGGTGGCGATCAGGAGCTACCACCGGCTATCCCGATTGACGAAAGTCTGCATGTTGAGCCCCGCCAGAGCAATGCAGGAGAGCCCCTACTGCTCGATGGAGGTGAGATGTGCCGACGAGCTCGCATGAACACTGGTGACTTTGGGGTGCCCTCGTTGGAGACTCGGCAGTCCTACTTCTCCAACACCATACCCAAAAGGCCCGAGGTGCCTGCAGCTCCCAACCGGATCTTGCACAACCACCATAAAGTTCGTATCGAGAAGATGATGAAGGAGCCGTAGTGCTTGCTTTACGGCAGTGTTCACGATATTTCTGCACCTGAACCGTGATGTATGGTTCCGCACCAGGTATATTAAATATAGCTTTTAGTCAGAGATAGCCCATTCGGTAACCCCCAATCAACTATGCAACTTGTCTGGGCATGTGTATACAAGATTGACTGCAGGGGTGTGCCTAGAACCAAGATAAGAAACACAGACGCACGCAAAAGTACAAATATTGGTATAATGACGTTATGCATGTGTGCATATACATATACACTATACACATACCTATACCTATACCTATACTTATACCTACACACACAGACATGCATGCATGCATACTTACACACATACATGAATACATACATGCATGTATACATATGTGCATTCATGCATGTGTACATACATACATACATACATACATACGTATGTGTAGGTACATACAACGTAC